ACATATTAGATCGAACATATGAAACTGCCATTTTTATAGGTAAAAAAAAAAAAAACAATGGTTGCATATTGACCACCTCAAGTAGTTCAATAGAATAACCCGATTTGACCTGAGGCCTCCATTCAAAGGACCTGCAGCACGTGTTCTAGTCCCTGAAGCCTGCTGAAGAGGCTTGGCAGGTGGTTATCATCAGAATCTCCACAGCAGCTCCAGAGGGACTAACATTCCAAGTAGCCCACCCTCTCCGCTGGAGCAAATTCACACGGTTGGAAGCCTATGGACAGTTTGCAAAATTCACCGCTGTCATCTGCCTTGTTCCCAGATTCCCAGTCTTGTGGACATTAAAGGAAAATCAACATGACTAGGTCATGTTCCTGAAGACAACTGCTCCTGACAGGTCTTGGACGTGAAAGTCTCACTGAAGCTAAGTCTTTTAAAGCTCGGCAGCTGCTGAGGGGTCCAAATAAACTTCCCGTTCAGTCTTTGTGGAGGACATGAATCACAAGAGCAGCATCCTCGTCCCAGCCCTACTTTGCTGAAACTTGCCCTGTGTTGGAAAACTGTTTGAACCCAGACCTGCATCCCACAGAAGAAATGGTTAAAGGTGGGGGCTGAGTGAGGCTGTGGGAAGCACATGCTTTTTGGGAGCTGACAGATACTGATGCTGTCAACCAATGAGCATGTGATGATTCCCCGAAGCTGAGGTCATGAACCCAGAGCATATTTTTTAAACTGTATTGGAGAACTATTATGACATCCATGTGGGGATGAGAAAAAACAATTTTTGATAAATAATTTAAATGGTTACATGTTCCCCCACTTCCCCAGCCCCACCCCACCCAGGATTGTGGACTCAACCCCAGTGTGACAATGAGATTATGGTGTGGTGTATTTAAATTTGCCTCACAAAAGGCTTTATTTTTAAAGAGACAGTCTCATTTTACACTAAGAAAGAAAGATGATTTGGAACCCCAGAAATCTCACAAGTGTTTTCAGACATTACTTCATGGGCCCCTTGGACAGCTCTTGTTTGGCTGGGTTCAGATGCTGGAGCAAAGTGGGGAGCTGGCCCAGGTCACCTCCCTGCATTGGAGGAGGTGTGCCTTGCAGAGGTTGGCACATTAGAAAACACTGCCTCCGCAGCTCGCCATGGAACTTACAGCTGCCTTCCTCCTGTCTCTGTGGTGCCAAATGTGGGCAGGAGAGAAAAAGGACGATACTGTGAGAGCTGACCTCAATGGTCAGACTCTGTGACTAGGAGCGCAGAGCCCTGGGGGGCCCCTCTGAAGCCACCCTGGGCGGGCTGGCTTGGCTAGGGCATTTTGGAGAGGACCTCAGGCCCTCAGGCCCTCAGGCATCATTTCGATGAGATCAGCCCTGATTCCATCCTCCTAAACTGCAGCCCAGCCTCCCACTTCTATGCATAAGTTAAGTAAGTCCTACGAGGCTGAAGGGCCTCTTTTAAGATCACAAAAAGGAGTGGTAGCAGATCTCTTGTTCCCAAAAAACTGGATGGGGAGGAAAAATTGAGGAAGCAAGAGAAAGAGGAGAGAGAGAGAGAGAGAGAGAGAGAGAGAGGGAGGGAGAAAATAGGAAGATGGAATTAAAGAAGCAGGAAGAGAAAATAAAGCGTTCCAAGTGTAGGATACTTCTGGGTCCCTGACAGTGGTCTGTGGCCTGCTGACCACCTTGGGAGTTCCTGTGTGTGGCCTGCGTGGCCTCACTGACTGTCCTGTGGAACGTGAGCCACGGGAAGTGGTTCAGGGCATGCAGGGAAAGCGTAAACCTTAGCCACTGCTCTCGTAGGAATGGAAACTCCAGGAACTGAGCACGACGCCCATCTTACAAAGGAGTCAGTTCCTCCTGCCCCTTGTCCGTTTGCTGAGGCAGGGCCCTGCTTTGTGGGCCCACACTTCTCTGCATCTATGTACACCCACCCATGGGCCCTGGGACCCGCGGGTGAAATGGGGAGAGAGGCAGGCGTGTGGAGCAGCAGAAGCAGCAGAGCTCCTGGCATCATGCTTTTGTTCCCGCTGCTGCCCCCACCACTTCTGGCGTCACAAACAGCACTCGGGCAGGCCAGAGGGACATGTGGTTGGAAATGCTCATGAATGAAATAAACTCCTGTGCTTCTGGCTGAAGGTAGTTTCCAAGGAGTGAGTGTGTCAGCTGACTCTTGCGGAGGCTGGCATCGCGGTGAAGAGGGACATTGAAAGGAAATATCCCATCTTGCTTTGTTTGGTAATTGTTTCTTCTCTGTTACTCCCAAACTAGGTTATGCTCTCGCAGAGGTCAAGAGTCACCAGACTGATGCTCTTCCTTTCCGGAGCTGCAAAAGGCAGGCGCAGAAGCCCAGCTCCTGCCAAGGTGAGCATGAGCAGAGCAGAGATCTGGGCACAGGCAAGAAGCATGAGCACAGGAGACAAAGGGGGATGTCTGCGTGTTCTGGCAGGCAGGACGTGTGAGCATATCGTCTATTCCTTACACTGCGTAAGGCAGGACTGACACACAGGATGTGACCAACATAGATTTGGGGATAGTTAGTGGGAAGACAGGTGAACAGAATGGCAGTGTTTCCTGAAAGCCTATCGTATGCCCAGGGAAAACTCCAGAATGCTCAGCTATGCCCCACTCTCCTTTCTTTCACAGAGGACAGGCTGAGCCACTTCTCGCCCTCGCTATAAATTCTGAGCTGACTTCCTATGAATATGTCAGGTCTGAAAAAGAGCAAGAGGGCATCGGCTAACGGAAGCACTGCCACATTCATAGAAATGAGCAGGAAGGGGAGGCGGGGACAGTTTCTGTAAATAGGTCAAGCGGAGGGAATGGCTTGGAAAATCACCTTTCATTTGCTTTCAGGGGCTACTGAACATGAAAGGAAATTCCCAAAGGAAGAGGTGAGGTGGTAACTGTCCCTGTCGAATCTCTACAAATAGCCTAGTTGCTCAGCACTGTGAAATGACTGGAGGAGTGAGGGCCCTGGCTGAGGGCAGGGGAGGAATGAAGTCACCCTCACCATTCCTCATCCCCGCACTTCTCCCGCCCCCCCCCCACCATGGGATTGCACACATAGCTCTGATTTTGTTGTTCCAGCCAGACTCGCCAAGACCCATACTGTATTGGAGCATGATTCTTCATATTCTATAAGTGACTTAATAAGCATGGCCTGAATCTTCCTGGTGTTTTGAACATAATGCCCAGCTTATCCACACTTTCCTGGAATGTCTGAAGGAAGACACATCTGCAGACCAGCCTTCCTCATAGCCTAACCTGTCTCTCCAGCTCTGGATGTCCCAGCTCCACGTTCGTGCTTCACAGTCTCAGCTGTTCCTTTTGGCTTTGTGTCCAAGCTCTGATGACTGGGCAATGCACCTATTAATCTTGAATGAAATGAAGTTTCCACCACTTCCATTTGAAAAAAGAAATAGCTTTGCCTTTTCCATTTGACTCGACAGTATACAATATTTATGATTCTTCTGGCACCTCCAGGCCCCCACTCTCCCATCGATTCTCTCCGTCAGCACTAAGTGCCCACTTTGAGGAAAGTACTTCCCGTCCATCAGGGACAAGCCCAGGATGACAACATTCGGTGAGCACAGCTGCTCCATGTCCACTGGGTCACCAGTAAGCTCCTGCTGCTCGCGTGGGGGGCTCTCCTGGGTTTCTAAGCCACTCTGCTCAAGAGCGCTATCCCCTGGGGCTCTGGGTCCTGCTTTTCCTTCTATTTTCTTCCACTTGAATGTTCCTGCTTCACCCAAACATAACTGACATCTTTGGATCTCCTGAGACCTCAGGGACTAAATCAGGGTGATTGGGAGTGTGGCTGGTCTGGGAGGTCCACTGGGGTCCCCAGAAAACTGGGATATCTAAGTAGTTTGGTTGGCACAGGTGGGTGGTTAGGACTTCCAAGAGAAAAGCACCCATATTGCTGTTCTTGAGGCTGGCTAAAGGTTTTCCTCTTGTCTCTCCTAAGTGATTCCTGCTCTCTCCTTGCTGGTCCCTGCACAATGTTCCTGAGTTTACTGCACCAGTAATTCCTCCAAACTCACCCGCCTTCATAGAGGCAAAAAGTAGTGCTGGAAAGGGAGTGAGATGCCAATCCTAGCTCACCAAAGGAAAGAGAGAGCTCTAAAAGTCACTAACTCATTCCTAGCCTCAATCTTGGGAGTAATAATGTTAGTCACTATCCTGAGTGATTATGGAGGGTTCTGTATAATAGATGCATAGAACTTAAAAAAAAACAATGGCTGGCAATTAGTAAGTGCTCAGCAAATATGAGCTATTATTGTTACGATCATTGTCAGGTTTATTCGACAAGGTGATATCAGTCCTAGCCATGGACAGCAGCGATATGTCTCTGGCAGATGGCAGGAAAACACAGTGGGCAGTGCACAAGGGAATGAGGGAACAAGGAGAACTTAATATGGAGCAACCGCTGCCTCACCTGGACACCCCTCTATACTTTCTGCCTTTAGCCCAGAGCCAGCAAGTAGGAGCATATGAAGCACGTTGGGCAGTGGGTTAAGTAGCTTGACCCTCAACCCTTTCTCCTAGTATAATTCTTTATACGTAGTAGATGTTCAGTAAATCCTGATTGTACAGATTTATGTTCAGCATCCCCTACATTCTATTTTTGCATCTTCTTAGTGTCCCAAGGGTTTGCCCTAAGGAAGGGCAATCTCTCTCTCCCCGCAGCCCCCACAATCAGGACATAATTGTCAGGTGTCCCAAACTCCCAGAGTCCTGCTCTTTGCCAACTGTGTAACTGAACAGTGGTTGAAAACAAGAGTTTTGCAGTAAGACAGACTTGGGTTCAAATCCTGGCTCTTACACACAGGTACCTGGGGCCAGCTCTTTAAATTCTAGAAGCTTCAGTTTCCTTATCTATGAAGTGAGGATAATAACAGTGACTGACTCATAAAATTATTACTCATAACATTGGGATTTTATGAGTTATTACAAGAAAAGAGATCATCGAAGTGCCTGGCACACACTAAGTGTTCAATAAATGATTATTACAGCCACTATTGTTCATCAGTTAATGCACATAACCAGAGGAAGTTTGATTTTCACTGAACCATCTAGAGGCTATGCCACAAGACTTTCAGATCACAATTAATGGTGGACATTTTGTTCAGGTCAGAGGAGGGAGGTTTTGGATAAATGATTATCTGGACAGAGAACACTTCACAGCCAGCAGTGGAGGGCTACCTCCTCTGGCCCTGACCAAGAAAAGCAAAGGAAATAAAACCCTACTACTGAGCGGGAAGGTGAACTGAGCCCATTCAATCCTTCACTGTGCCAAAGAGGGCGGATGGGGAGAGACAGAACAAGCAGCAAATTCATTCTGAATCAAGTGATCAACTAGACAATGGAGCCAATTTCAGTCACGAAGTTATTTTATATAGTGGCAGCAGGAGGCTGGTTTGAGGTTGCTTAATTGTATGGTCTGTCCTGTGAAAAATTTAAAAGCTGGAGAACATAAAAGAAATGATTAAAAGTCACTCTAGCTAAACTAGTATATTCCCATGAAAGCCCATAAACGGGCTGCTGCTCACACGTCTACTGAGCTGAAATGGTGCTGCCCAGCCTCTCCTAGGTGGACCCTGAGAGAGGCATGAACTGTGCAACTTCATGATATGAAACTTCCAGGCCCTCCTGGGAAGGGTTAAGCAAACACATTTGTTTAATGCAGCTCCATTTGCCCAACCAGTGTCAGCATGTTACTGCATTAGAATATATTGCACTCGGCCATGCTGTCACTTTCTCCTTCTGTTTGCATTTAGAATGAGAGTCATTGTTAAAGATTAGGAATCCCAGTGCCCACAATCCAGAAAGCACAAGTCAAAATGTAGGAACAGAAACAAATTAAAAAAGTGCTTATTGCTAGCTTAGTTGGATTCAGAGGAATTTTTCCCTAGAGTGTTCAGTCCCAGAGAGGAGGGCTTTATTGGCAGAAAACCCTATGGACTTCACCAGGTCCTCTCCAAGTGTATCACCTGGACTCTGGGTTACCTTCTCCACTACAAACAGACCATGAACTCCTAAAGGCAAGCAGGGACATGCTAAATTCTTCTTAGTTTTCTCAGACTAGATCTGGTATCTGTGCTTAATCAGTGCTGGTTGGTTGAATAAGTAAATGAATTACAGGCAGTTCTTTGTGATGGTTTTCAAACATAGCCATAAATTATTTGACACTCTTCCATTGAGAGGTAACATCTGTATTCCCTCCCCTGGAGTCTAGACAGGATTCTGACTACTTTCCTTTGCATTTGCTTTTGGGGCCCTGAGTCACATGTAAGATGTCCAACTACCCTGAGGCTGCCAAGTTGGAGAAGCCATGTGCAATAATGACATGGAGAGGTCTTGACACTCCATAGAAAGACATAACCCCAGCATTTGACATGTGAATGAAGAAACCTACAGATGAATCCAGGCCCACCATGTAAGTTACTCCCAGCCTTTCAAATCCTCCCAACTGAAGCCTCAGCCATCATGTAGCTGGAACAAGACATTCTTGCTGAGCCCTATCTGAATTCCTGACCCACAGCATCCATGTGCATTATAAAATGGCATTTGCTTCTTCTACTCTGTGAAGTTTTGAGATGGTTTGTACAAGACAATAGACAAATGTAACATTCTTCAAAATTCAAGGCAGGTGAGCCTGTGCTATTCTAGTCCCTCCTAGTTGGTAAAAATCTTCACAGTCAGGATGCTGATGGTAAAAAATCTTAAATTCCTTCTTTAATTTAAGCCCATAACTTCTTTAGTTACCTCTGGAAAGATTAGTAACAGCTGGTCCCCACTTGCGCTTTGTCATAGGCCTTCACAGACTTGAAGATATTAACTAGTTTCTCAGCTTTTTCTTCTTTGGGTCACATACTCTGAAATCTTTGCAGATCCTTTTATCTTTCTTCATTTCACTTTGTATTTGTCACCCTCTAAAAAGAGATGCCAACGGGTTTTGGACAAATGAAGAACATCATCATCAAATGAGAGACGTAGATCAAAATAACAATCTTTTTGACATTTAAGTCACTTTATATTATGCAAACAATTTTCACCTGTATTATCTCCTCCATAATAACTCAGTGACATGAATGAGATGGACATTTTTTCCCTACTAATTAAAGATAAGCTCCTTTCACAGGATCATACTTGTTAATGGCTGAGCTGAGACTAGAAAACAAACCTTGAATTGCAAGTATATGGACAAGAACGGGAAGAAAATTTAGAAGAATAAAATCAGCTGATGTATTTGAATAGCAAATTATTCTCTCTTCAATTTTTCTTGATTACAATTTTGTCTTTCCAATAAATAAAATCAACATTTTTGAAAAGAAATACTAGGCCTTTATAAAGTATTTGGACAGTGTTGAAATATTTGGAAGTATGTCATTTTAAACATAAATAACTCAAATCGTAGGCACAACAGAAATGAAATAGTGAATTATCTTCTCATTGCTGTCATTGACTTCAATTTTTCTAGTTCTAAGAAAGTGATAGAGAATTTGTTGTGGTGAGAGTCAGAAATAAAAATATATTGCATACCACTGGGTTGACCTAAAAAATATACATATGCTTTGCTTAAATGCCAATTACAAATGTGTTCTGTTACATGAACAATGCAAGTATTAGACCATAAAGATGCACCAGGATGCCATAAACACACACACACACACACACACACACACACACACACAGAGGCAAAAAAATGTTAAAATTGTAATACTCAATATACACCAATAACAAAAGATGAATACTAGTCATGTTTGACTTCTGCTATTACAAGAGGTGCTCAAAGTGGTTACCATCAGCGTAATTTTAATACAGTTTTTCCCTTTCTTAAAATGTGTATACATTTTTTGGAGATATATATATATATTTGATATCTTCATCAACAAGCTACTTAAATAAAAGTCTCAGCTTTGTCTATTCCTATATTAGCAATATAGCATAACAAGCTAAGACATAATGGCCTATGCTCTAAAAAGTAAGCATGGGTTCACACTTATTCTCAATATCAAATCTACTGGCAGGCATAATATAGCAAACAGCTAGACAGAATGTGTACAGTTGATCCTTGAACAATGCAAGGGTTAGGGGTGCAAACCCCTGGTGAATCAAAAATCCACATATAACTTTTGACTCCCCTAAAATTTAGTTGTCCCTTGGTATCTGCAGGAGATTGGTTCCAGGAACCCCTACATATACCAAAATCCATGGACACGCAAGTCCCCCATATAAAATGACACAAAACAATGCATAGAGTTGAGTCTTCACATCCCAACCACAAATCAAAAACAATACAGGTATTTATTGAAAAAAGTGTGTATATAAACAGACCTACGCAGTTCAAACCCATGTTGTTCAAGGGTCAACTGTATTTCTATGTCCTGAATGAAGCCAAGAGAAGAGTGATGGGGTGGAGTGTAAGGTGAATAAGGCTGATGGTTATTTCTACTTAGTAAAGTTAAACCACATTCTCTGGATCATACCTGTCAATGGCTGGCCTGAGACTAGAAAACAGAGTGAACAGACACTGACTCAGAGACTGTGCCAATATGAGACAGCAAAGACTCATATTTTCTCCACAGTGCTCCACAAAGAATGATCCATGGAAACCCGAATCCAAATCTCTGCTGGAGTGTGGGAGGAAGTCCGAAATCTGTACTTTTAACAAGTATTCCAGGCAATTCTGAAACACACTGGAATATGTGTGCTCATTCACATCGTCTCCTCAATAATTCAAAAGCTAACAAAGAGTAATGCAAGACTCAGAGAGGTTCTGTTGAACGGTGACAGGAGAAGTCAAACTACCGATGCTGGAAGCAGGCTATTGTCTGCCACACATCGCCACAACCTCATGGCAAGTCTTTCCACTTCTCTGAGCCTCGGTGCCCTTGTGCATGAAGTGAGTGTTTGGACCACATTAGCTTTGAGTTATTTTGTGTCTGACATTTGATAATGACTTGAGATCGAACAGTTGGCTGCATCCAAGACACCTGGATACAGGTACTATTTTGGACCAGAGAAACTTGTACAAACTTTGAGCCAAATGGTTTCAGAGCAGTCTCTGCATCCCCTGGACTGATTTAAGATGTATCCGGAAAAAACAAACAAAACGTATTGCCCATTTATACCGAGATCCAGCTGGGTTCTAGTTGCCATTGCAGATGCCAGATTTGCAAAGGTAATTGCCACCAGCAACCCAGCTGCTGTGGAGAGGATGTGGGCACAAACCTTTCAGACTTGGGTGTGTCACTTAGACCAGGCCAGAGCCACCAAAGCACTATGCTTTCCTCCACCCTTTCCGACTGCCCCCAAGACTGGCACAGGGCTTACTAAGAGCGAAAGTAACACTTGCATATCTGGGGCCCAACAGCCTTTTCTAGGCGGTTGAATGAGGTGCCAGACAGAAAGTTGCCACCAGAGAGATGAATTTTTCAGAGTCCTCAACCTGATACTTCTGTTGCCCAACGTGCCACCCATCTAGCCCTTATGCTCCACCAGACCACATTGCAACAAGTGGCAAGTGCACATTTACTGTCAAGGTCTGACTGCAAATCCTTATGTTAATCTGTCATTCCGAAATACATAACGACACCCGCTACTAATACATAAGGCCTTCTTTTGCCTAACAGAGTTTGAGAGATAAATTGGCAATGAAAGGATACTGCATTGTTGCAGGATCGTTTGTCAGTTGATTCCATTTATACATTTATCAATGCCATTTTGCAAGAAATAGTCTCCACTTTAGAGATGACACTTCATATATAACAGAGAAGGTTTGAATCTTACTCGGCTGCCAGCACATTACATTATAGAACGTGTCACCAGGCCTCAAACAAAGCAGCAAGGTTGTGTATGTAGGTGACACCAAAGCCAATATGTGCTTAGCCAAAAAATGATTCAATGCCTTCAGAATGTACAGAGTGAGATTCTGTAGGAGTTAGAGGTCAATGGTAATAGAGTGCAAGAGAGATATCTGACAGTTCCCAAGCTCTGGACAATCTGTTCTCAGTTATCTACTAGTAGAGAGAGAACACCTAAGGATGAAACACTGGTACCCCTGAATGCTTGAATCACTTTCCCTATTTGGTCTCGTTTTATATGCCTGTTTTCCATCCCTCCCTAATTCCTTTGTTGGGCTGCAGAATGGACCTAATGAGCTGGTTCAGTCATTAGTTATCAACTTTAAGATAACATGCAATTAGGGGATGATGGGGAAAGGGGTCCCATCTGCAAATCCCAGTTAACCACCAAGCCAGACAGCCATCCATAATTTAATCAAGGGCAAATGAAGGCTGTTGATGGTTTTCATTCAAAGTTAACAAAGTGCCATTTTGAGAGCTCCCCAACATATACTCCACAAACCGAGTTTTCTTTCTAGATCTGTCTGGTTCTGAACTGAATGACTCAAGCCATCCATTTCACTTCTTTGTATCTCAGTCTTTTAAAAAGTGAGACTAATAGATGTGGCCTTCTGCACAAAAAAGTACTGGTAAGGAATATTGATTAAAAATTATTATAAAGCCCTTTACAATATCAAAGTGGTGATGAAGCAATAATGAGCTTTGACCAGAAAGCATATGGTTCGTGGGTAGTTGCTTTAATTGCTCCTGCTTGTTATTAAACTGGTGTGGAAGACCAGAGGCAAGTGCTTTGGTGGTCTTGTTAGGCTGTAGAGTGTGGGCTTTTACAGATATGCAACACTGCCCTCTATCGGTACCCAGCGTATTAATAAGTGACTGAGGCGGAACAGCCCATTTTTCTCAGCCAGGCATCTTCGAACTTCACAGCAGAGGCCCAGGGAGCTGGTGTGCAAGGGTCTGTGACCAGACCACGCAGTGGAGGGCTTGTGCTTCACAGAATGTGGTGCATGTCCATTAGAAAGCTGCTGAGTGGAAATCTTATTCCCTGGGATTTTAAACAGCCACATTTCCTGATATTTGACATCAATGAGACATTTAGCAAATGGAGTGCCAGATGGAGCTCTTGGCTCAATTTTCCATAAGACACTTGAGAGTCAGAAACCTCCGATGTTTGTATTTGATAGGTTTGCTCACCGTAGGCCTGGCCATGGCTCAGTGGACACGGGCATTCTGCAAGCTTCGAAGTTGGGGAGAGCTGGGATACACAGGAGAGCAAACAGCAGCTCTCCCTACAATACTACACGTAAAAGCATCCATGGTAATTCACTTTAACACTCAGATACTAACTGCTCTTACATTATCTAACTGTCTTACAATCACAGGCGAGAGTGCAAATAATAATTGACTACCACTTTCACCAAGCTCCAAAGGAAGCTAGGGCCGACGGTGTGCCTCCATTTTACAGATCAGAAAACTGAGGCTCAGAATGGTGAAGGATGTGCCCACAGTTCCACGGTGCTCATCACACAGGACCACATAAATGCAGGAAAGCGATGAAATCTCAGGGCTTCCCTAGTTAGCTAAGTAGGACTCCACCACTTTCTCTGTGACCACACAGACATATATAAATCATTTTGGTTATTTGGTGTTAATAATTCACATTCATGTGAATCACAGTCCAAGATTATAGTACCTTGAAATTGTTTTATTAATCAGTATATTTGTGAAGACTTCAAGAAAATCTCAGTAGTGATATTCTGAGAGTCTTTGATATGTTCAAAATTGTCCTATGATTACACAGAAGATGGCAAACAGTGAGAAACTCAATGAAATGACGATTCTTTGAGAATGAACATTTGGATTTTTTTCTTTCCATCAAGTTGTCAATGCATATAATATTTGGTGTACAGTATGTCACATGGCCTTATTAAATTGGTGTGACACAGCATGGCTGTTGTGCTTTGTCATATGCAGAGGTTATCTACAACTCTAGAACCATAATTCATCCCTGAGTATTTTGTATTCATCTTGTACAATAACCACGAAGTGTTTAGGACTCACACTGCTGTTTAACAGGAACGGCCCCATCCTTCTGAAGTTTGCATGCTGTTATTTCTTTTACAGCTGTCCCCCTGAGTTCCCACCTTAATTCAGGTCAGGGGAGTTACTGGGAAATGAAACTGCGCTTCCTCTATTTCCCTCCTCCCTACACGGTTGATTTGAATTGTAAGCCCACAGATATGCTCTACCGGCTGACTCTTGAGTTGTTTACCCCCTCAAACAGGGGATACAATGATTACCTGTTTTTGCTGGTTTGAGAAGAAGGTTGCTTCATAAATACATGGGGAGATGATCTGTGCATCTGGAATATCTTACCTTTGCCTTGGATTATACAGCGGTCCCTCCTTCCTTCAGGAAAAGCTAAGCCAGCCTCAGGCTGCACCTCCAGAAAAAGCTGAAACACATGTCACAGTTTGAAATAATTTTCCACACATCAAACAAATTAAACTGCTCTTCTCATGTTTTAGGACAAAAACCCTTATCCCATATGACTGTCAACAACAACAAAAAAATAAAGAATATTTTTACTTTTTCAAGTAATATAAATAATAAAACAAAAACCTTCCATTTATGTGTGTTAAGCTTCCCTTGGCTCCCCTACATTGAACTAAGTGTTCAAGTATTGTTTCAACAAATTTTCACTTCAGGAGTTTTAGAAAGTATCTATGTATTCCAAACTCCTAGTTAACATAGAAATACGTTCTATTTATAAATACTTCTACTGATAGAGTCCTCTCTTTAAAGGGTGTCTATCCCATTTCTGAAGAACTCTAATAGAAGATAACCAAAATGAAAGGCACTTCTTCCACTGGACTTTGTATCTTATAACTGTTCCTTTCATATGTATTTACAAGTAAAAAGAGAGTGAACAAAAGACTCAGGAATAAGCCAACAGCACAACGGACAAAAGTTGATAGATTTGACCCATCTTACCCATTGTAAAAAGAGGAGTCTTATAGAAGGAGCCTCGGCAAACCCCAAACCAGCCCTTTTACATGCTTAGTGATCATCTGGATATAGTTGCAAATGTGGCATTTTGGTTTAACACAAGCACCAAATAACATGTAGCATATACTCAAATTAAGTGAATCACTAGTTGAGTAGGTTCGTAAAGCCTACAAAAACCAACCACAGGACTGTAATGAAAGGAAGTGATGACAGACAAGTTATAACTTACAGCCAGCCAATTTCTGAACACAGTATTTTGGCTGACTGGTCTTGGACATGGGAAGAATTATGCTGCTCCATTTACAACTTATTAAAGAGGGAGAGAAGCCATCGATACAGATGGATGGTTCTATATCAAAGAAGGCTAGGAGAGGTGATGTTACAGAGTTTCTATTGAGCAAACTGTCAAGCAGTACTTAACTCACTTTTCCCCATTCTTAATCATTAGAAAAGAAAATTTTTCAAAAGGTAAAAAAAAAAGCTTCAGTATTGTTAGTAAGCCATGGCTTTGCTCTCTTTTATCTGCAAAAGCCTAGACATGCTGATAGAATCAGCTTCCTTCCTTAGGCAAGGTAGTAATTGCTTTTTCACACGATACATGCTCCTGGCATGCAGTTGCCTATGACATGCAGACTGAAATGCCGTGGGATGTGTGAACTGGAAATTTATTATCATGTTTTATGCTAGCAGATGAAATCTGCCCCCCAAATAACATAAAAACTACTTCTGATTCACCAGAAGAAACACATGGCGCCTTACGTATAGTCTATGAACACTGTTAACAGTAAGCCCCCAAATAGGCACCAGAAGTGTCAGGTGTGATAAGAAAAGAACTATCCTGGCTTAAATGGGCTTTGAATTTATTTTATTACTCCAGAAATGAAGTTACGTTCACTGTAGCTTTCAGTCGGTGGAATGGAAGAGCCGGAAGACTTGCTCTTTGGTCACAAGTTAATCATGTGTGCCTGATTTTGGATAATCTTGCTGAGGATTAATTTGCCTTGCTATAGAAAGGGGAAACCTGAATTAAGCTATCCTCAAGATTCTTATGTTCTGTGATTTTATCTTCTTGGGTGAATAATTTTACCACCCACCAGTGGAGAACAAAAGGCGTCAGAAAACCCTCATTAGCCTTTGGTCCATTGGAGGGCTCTTGGAAAATATATTTCAGAAGTGGAATAGGATGTTGTTCTCCTCATTGCCGTGTGGGTGTGAGTTAATCCTCCCATCACAGAGTCACTGTGACCTTAGAGAGGCTCTTAAATTCCTTTTGCTTTTATCTGCTTATAAGTGGCTATAACCTAAACCAGCACCCGCCAACCAGATTTCATTTATGATAAATTAATTAGATAACATCTTCGGTTTTCTATTTTTTGGAAGTAAATGTTCTAAAAATGTAACAAATATTTATTTTTGAAAACAATAACATGTTTTCATGCTATCATATATAAGTTAAACCTCCAAAAAGAATATTTTGAATGCACTCGGACTCATAAATCAATTACCACTTTCCTTTACCACCATGATCCTTCTAATTTTTATCTGAATTTACAAGCTGTTTATCAGAATAAGTCACCAGCTTGGGCCATTTCCTTTTCTCTGCAAAAGGATTTAACATTGTGGGTTGGAATTTCCTTCATTTAAGATGCTTGAAAAATCAGAAATGGGCTCACTAGCTCATTTCTAGAGTGGGGGTGTCCAACCAAGAGACAAAACTGGCATTATGCCCAAAGGATCTCTTTGGCATGGCAGTCATTTATATTTCACATATGAAAAGTTAACGCCAAGCAGTTGCTCAGCACATGCAGAACCAAATTTCTGAGAATATCAACTCCTGAGTTAGGAACACCCTGACATATTTCAGAACTGGGTGAAGGGCAGGCACATCTCCAGAGGAGCTATGCACACAGCACATATGCATTGACTTTAACTGGTGATTAATGAAACGCATGAGGAGTTCCATGGAACTCTGCAAGATTCTTTAGCAACTATTTGGTTTCTTTCCTTCTGTTTGATTTGACTCATCAATCTATGTGGGGACTCACTTATGTTGAATTTTAATATTTCAGGACAATAAATTATGTCTCTCATATTAACATGCCCAGAACAAGATATGAAGCTCTTGATGATTTATTTGATACAAATTTGACCATAATTATTCTTTACCTTTAAAAATCAAGCCATAAAGTAAACCAGAAAAATAAATGATTTAGGCCTTCTGTTTGTTTCTAACATGGTCTTTGGGAGAATTTTAGTTAATTTCCCATAGGTACACAAAATTGAGAAATATTTTTCCCAGTTCTATTTTTAAGAGCTAGTCAAAAAATTTCATTGTGACCTTGAGTTAACTGAGCTATTTCCAAACCCGAAATATAAATCTGAAAATAGCAGCATGAGGGCTCCCGAGGGGATCTTCCATTATGGCACCCTGTCTTCAGGAGAGGAAGAGCTAAGAATGTGGCCAGGGTCCAGAAACAAGCCAAAATCACAACTGAGAAATTAGGACCCAAAAGGAAAAGTTCAAGGAAGAAATTTTCTGTTTTCAGCCTGCAAAACAAAAGAAAGAAAAGTGATTGACTCTGAGTCTTCAAGTTTGTGAAGGACCTTGACACACAGGCGGTGTGAGGAGATGTACTCCACCTCCCCGGGGACATGTCAAGAGAAAGTAGACGCAAATTGCAACACTGGGGGCTTGCTTTGGCACCAGCATTTCCTGACAGTGAGGGCTGTTAAACACTAGAACGAGGTGCCAAGGGAGGTTGGGCAATCTCCATTCTTGGCAGGTTTAGAAATTAGATAGATTCTTATCCGCTGGCATCAAAGCTGTGGGGAGAGAACTGAACTACCTCAAGAGACCCCTTTCAAGCCTAAGAATCTCTACACCGCTTTGGTTGGAGGAAAGTAGATAGACTGAAACGAAGAGGGCTCTCAACTGACTCTATTGATACATTTCCTTTTTCTGTCAAAATGAGAATATATATATTTTTTTCTTTTCTGAGCGGATGTGTATCCTGAGGAAATTATTATTTTCTATTTGCTTTTGATAAAAATAGTGCTAACCACTTCTGGTTTCTTAGCAGAACCCACTGGCAGAGAGGCTGGGAGACCATGGCAGTGCCTGCAACAGCTCATTTAGGAGGCCTCCAAGTTTTTCATCAAAGGAGACAGGCGAGGGGAGGGCAGGGCCACCCTGCGCCAGTTTGCAAAGTCCCTTAGCTAAGATGTCAGTCTGTGTGGTTCTTAAAAAGAAAAAAGGAAAAAAAAAAAAAAGAAATTCAAGTTTTCACATGCAGCTACCTGAGGAATTTGGATACTGCTGATCCACAGCACTCTGAGTATTGAGGAAACACAAGAGAAGCCTTTCCAGGCTCTACTTGCTTTCAATGGGGGTGCTTCTAAGAAAGTTGCACTTTTCTTAGAAGCTTCCGGAGAAAAACGACGTAAAGTTGTATTGCAACAAAACATGTGGTTTCACACCTATTGCTATGGACATCACAGAATTTCTGCATTTACAAGAACATCTTGGGAGGAGGACCAAGAAAGAAATTTGAAGCCCTCTTCAGACTTTTCTTTTCATTAAGAGTAATCTTAGTCTAGATGTGATCTGCCCTACTTACTTTGTTCCCAGGCCTTAGACAAGTTGTGTCTAAAAATGGAGACCCAGCAGCAAGACAGTGGTACAGCCATCCCAATAAGTAAGAACAGGAATCCATATTTTCTTTTAAGGTATAGAGTTAATAGTAACTTCAAAATTGTTTCTACAGCCCTTTCTGAGGAAAGCTGAAGCAAATGCCCTTAGGGAGTGATTATTATCTATTCTCTCTTGGTTGTTGTTTAGGGTACAATATGTAGTTTTCCCCTGGCAGATGGAAAATTATGTTGTGGCAGGAAGGACATCATTCAGCCTGTCTTGAAAGGCTTTTCCCGAGGGATCTGAAGCTGAGGCTGTGTTGATAAAACGCGCACACACAGAGAAAAGAAAATCTCTCCCTTTTCTCTCTCTTTCCAGCTCTCTTCCTTATCTTTCGGTTATATATTTTTGGGAGGGGATAAACTAAATATAGAATAAAATGGAGAAGAAAATTGAAGACCTAATTTGATATAGGCAGGTGATATAGAACACCTAATTTGATACTTAGTGAATGGACTACACTGTGGTAATTTCAGCCCCAAATAGAAATTGGCCCATTTGTAGATTGGGACACCTTTCTGCAAATAAACCAATTAACGTTTTCAAATGTGTACATGCACAGACAATTGGAACCTCAGTACAATTGACTGTGCTGTAACTAAGAATGGACTGATGAAATTCCCAAGGGAACTAGTTACATTGCCTTTCCAGGCCTTTCCAGCTCTCAAACGTTGTGCTTTAGAAGCTCTCTCACTTCTTACTAATGAACTTCACTGTTTAATTTATTGTGCTTCTTGGTAACCACAAACCATTTT